TTAGGGCAAAATGAAGAAAGTGTGAGGGCTTCCGACTTTGTCCAATTGACCTTATAACCAGAAATATTTGAGAATGTTAATTAAGGAGAGCAAAAGGGGGAGGGAATTCACTGGGTCTGACATAAAAAGAAGAATATCATCAGCATACAACATCAGTTTATGACAACTATGTCCTACAGTAATACCAGGAAAATTAACCTCTTTCTGAATAGCAGCCGCTAATGGTTCTAAGGCTAATGCAAAGAGTAGAGGAGACAGGGGGTCCCCTGTCTGGTCCCTCTTTTAAGTTCAAATGGTTGGCCAATTACCCCATTTGTTAGGACAGATGCCGTTGGCCGAGCATATATAAGCTGAATCCAGTCTATAAAATTTTCACTAAAGCCAAAGCTTTCCAAAGTTAGAAACAGATATTCCCGCTCAACTCTGTCGAATGCCTTTTCTGCATCCAACGACAAAGCAACCACAGGTGTCGGGCTTTGCCGAACTGCCCACATAATGTCTATAAGTCTTCTAATATTGTCATCTGAGGTGTGAGAATGTATAAATCCAACTTGATCCGAATGAATGAATGAGGTTAGGGTAGGGTACTGCCCCCTGTTGTCGGTTTATGTAGTTTTCTGAATGTCTACTGTGATTGGTCAATGTCGTTCCATGCTGTTAGTTCATGTCGTTGGTCAGTGTTGTTGGTCAGTGTTGTTGTTGCCTGTTCTCTTTGCCATTAATAATTTTTGAAGTAGGTCATGTCTGATCAAAGTGTTTATTAGATATTACAAAAATGTTGGTCTTTCAATATCAGTGGTTTCAAAATACTTAAGAGTTCTACCTCGTATTTTCTTTAGGAATTAATCAGGGCAGCTAAGGAGGTCGACATTGGCCAATCACAGAAGTTAAAGACATTCAGGAAACTACTTGAACAAACAACAGGGGGCAATAGCATCAAAAATCTTGTTAATTCATCTGCAGTAATTGACAAGATTACTGCAAATGGTTCACTGCTTTACTGCAGATGAATTGACAAGATGACGGTGAATAATAACCACGACGCAGCTAGAGACATAACATCTACATATGCAGCAAACACATATGCAACATAGACATATACAACATATAACATATGTTGTATATGTCTATACAACATATATAGGTATATATATGTTGTATATATATGTCCATATATATACAACATATACATGCATCTACATGCAACATCAACATATCCATAAAACATTAAGACCATAGACATCAACCAAAGACACATAGCAACAACATAGACCAACATTTATACATATCACTTCTACTTATTTTTTTACACAAACTGAACCCCATATTTTTTTACTGCTTTTCAGTGGGTGCTTATGTTAGTAGTTTAGTTGTGATTTTTTGTTGTTTTAAGTTTGTCACGTTTTCAGAGGTTTTTATTAGTTCGGGTGTGGCCGTCAGGTGTGCCTGGCTGACTGGCTGGGGCCTTCTCCACGCTGACACAGAAGAATGGCATCAAGGTGGGTGCTGGCTCTCCGTGCAGCGTAGAGGAAGTTTGTTTGGCTGTTGGGGAGATGATTGGACATAGCTCTATCAAGTCCACACCTCGAATGATATGTTATCAGATGCTGCAGATCTTCTCTCAGTCTGTTATTGAGAGCGTCATGTTTTTTACCATCATCTGTTGGGGCAGCGGCATCAGAGCCAGGGACATAAAAAAGGCTCAACAACCTGATAAAGAAAGCTGGTTCTGTTCTGTGTAGCGTCTGAAGATTATTATGCAAAGAAGGATTCTTCATAGCATTAAGAAATTTTTGGACAACTCTGGTCATCCTCTTCTGTCTAGTGAAAACAGTGTCTACAGTCAGAAGCTTTTTCAGATTTGCTCTAATACAGACTGCTACAAGAGATCTTTCCTGCCATCAGCTACATCTACAATAACTCTGAAAAAAAAAAAGAATTAATATGAGTAACAACAACATTTAATTTCCCTTTGGAATCAATAAAGCATTTTTGAATTTGAATTTTTGTGGTCAGTGTCACTGATCTAACAATGCCTTCACAATAATTTAAGGAATTAAAAACAAGTTTTAAAGCGTAACCCATTTAAAAAAATTCCTCATGAACATTGATTCAGTGTCTTTCAATACAAGTTATGCATGATTTAAATTATAACTTATCTTGTTTTATTTTTAAACCTTTTTTGGACTTGGGGTTAGGGCTAACCCTAAGTCCTGGATGACTGAGAACAAGTAGGTAGAAAAAAATAAATGGTAAGTACAACTTAAACTTAAGGCTCAAAGCACCAGGGTTTTTCTAGGAAAATATTCAGATTTTATTTCGTGGTTTTAAAGGTTGTACGTTAACGATGGTAAGAAATAAAGGCATGTTTTCTTTTTTTCAATCTACTGTCAGCTGCTATGCTCTCTCTCTCCTCTGGTCTCATTAAGGTATGAGACAGACAATCTGAAAAAATCAAGCTCTTCCGATCACAGCGGACGCGCGTCCCATATATTGTGTTTTGCTCCGTCAGAACCCTCTCCTCCCTCCCTTCGATTCTACTACCTCTCCTTGATTGCAGCAGGAAAATGAAGCAACACAGAAACATTTGCAATTCATTCGTGAATCGAGCAGCAGGTTTAGGACGCTGCACGAGAGGCGAACCTCTGAGCTCCGACGCCATTGAGTGGAGAGAAGCTGCGATGCGCTTTCTGAGCAGATTGTCGCCTGGCTGTGTGGACGCCCTCTGAAAATGGTGTACAATAATAATCGCGGCGCAGGCAGGCCGCTTCTGCTCCATGGCGATGAGTGACGGAAGGGAAAATTGGGCTTTTTCTTCTTACACCGGACGCTTCTGAGATGAGGGATAAAAAGAGGAGGAAGAAGAAATTGCGGTTTGATTTTTAGGTTCGGATTACAGCACATCGAGATGGATTCTATTTAGAAGTAGGTTTATATTATTATTATTATTATTATTATTATTATTATTATTATTTCTGATTTCCATTCCATCCCTTTTGGGTGGGGGCGAGCAGGAGCGATGATTTGATGCGGGAGATACGCCACATTCATGGCGAACACAACAGAGTTCGGGGAGAGCAGCGCGTCCTTACACAGCTATGCATCCACGGCCTCTGCGGTCAAGCTGGCCTCCCTGGGGCTCATCATGGGTGCGAGTCTGCTGGGCAACGCGTCGCTGTCGCTGCTGCTCCTGAAGGACAGTTCGCTACACAAGGCTCCCTACTACTTCTTGCTGGACCTGTGCCTGGCCGACGTGCTGCGCTCGGCCGTCTGCTTCCCCTTTGTGATGGCGTCTATCGGAGCCGGTTCCGACTGGCCGTATGGCGCGCTCAGCTGCAAGATTGTCGCCTTCTTGTCGGTGCTCTTCTGCTTCCACGTCGCCTTCCTGCTCTTCTGCGTCAGCGTCACCCGATATATGGCGATCGCCCATCACCGCTTCTACTCCAAGCGCATGAACCTGTGCACGTGCGTGGCGGTCATCTGCATGGTGTGGACCCTCTCCGTGGCCATGGCCTTCCCGCCTGTGTTCGACGTGGGCACCTACAAGTTCGTGCCCGAAGAGGAGCAGTGCACGTTCGAACACCGCTACGTCAAGTCCAACGACACGCTGGGCTTCATGCTGATGCTCGTGGTCATCGTGTGCACCACACACGTGGTTTATGTTAAGATGCTGTGCTTCGTTTACGACCACCGCAAGATGAAGCCAGCCCAACTGGTGCCGGCTATCAGCCAGAACTGGACCTTCCATGGGCCCGGAGCCACCGGGCAAGCCGCCGCCAATTGGATCGCTGGCTTCGGGCGTGGGCCGACGCCGCCCACGCTGGTGGGCATCCGGCAGGCGTCGCACTCTGGCAATAGGAGGCTGCTGGTGCTGGACGAGTTTAAGACGGAGAAGCGCATTGGGAAGATGTACTTCCTGATCACGCTGGCCTTCCTCGTTCTGTGGGCGCCTTACATTAGCGCATGCTACCTGAGGATATTCGTGCGCGGGGCTCCCATCCCGGAGCTCCACCTGACAGCCGCGGTGTGGATGAGCTTCGCCCAGGCGGGGGCCAACCCCATCATCAGCTTCATGTTCAATAAGGAGCTCCGGATTAGACTCAGAGCCTGCTTTTCCTGCTGCCTGGGAACACAGACACCCATGGAGCCATACTGTATCATATGAACCCCCCCAGACCCCGCTTCCCAAATATACAGCCAAAGACTGACATTTATGCACTGTAAAAACTGCTGACTCAAAATGAACCGGATGTGTGTAAGTTTGCTCAAACAGGGACTTTGTTCTGTCTTTTTACTCGCAAGTTAAAAAGAAACAGGTTCAGATTTCACCACTCTACATGTTTTAGGGCTTTTTCTCACTTATATTTTCTTAAGTTTTGTCCAAATCAGTTGTTTCTTCACTTGTAACTTTCTCCTTTTGTTCAGTTTCTCTGAGGATCTCAAAGTGAAAACCACAGTCTGATAATTGGTCAGTTGTGTCTGTGGCTGGAGTATGAGATGTAAACACAGGAAGCATATTCTGTGTGCTGAGTTTATAGAAAATACAGTCAATCATATCAGTAGTGTGTTTCTGGATATTTCATGGGAAGTGGCCCAAGGCCCCAATTTTGGATTTTTGGAATTTTTATGAATATAAACAATATTCAAGTGTTTGGAAAGGGGATTTAGTAAATTTCTTTGGAAACAGCATGAAAATATTGGCAGGGGATGTATTAAACCTACCATGCATCAATTCAAACCTGCTCATTTGTAGGACTATGTATTAATGTTCTGTAATTTGCATTAGTGAAACAATATTTCTTTGTGAATAGAGCACCAAAACTGTCTCCAGCCCAGGGCCCACATCCTTGTAAATCCAGCCCTGTCTACAAAATACTTTTGAGAAGACATCTTGAAAATTGCATAGAGTTCTATATTTTACGAAAAACAAAGTTTAGCCAATTTTTATTACTCTTACACATCACACACAGTGTCCGGCTCAAACCTGGCTGTGGGAAGCCGTTTGACTCAAATTTGCAGTGTACACCTGGTATCTGTGTTGGATTGAGATCGGACCACATTCAGACCATAAATTAACCATTCTGGAGTTCATTTGAAACAGTACTGAGGCCACCTCCTCCAAAACAGTCCTGGTACAGTTGTTTCATTGTCAACAATATGTTCACATCTACTCAGACAAACTCCATAGGGTGGAAAGAACCATAGTTTGTCTTAAATGAAGTTTGTCTTAACTGGTATGAAAACACCCTTAAATGTAGAATCACAAGCACACAAATTAAGTTCAGGTTCCTTAAAACCTTTTACTTTTAGCAATAATAGAAAGCTCTGAAGGAGATGCTAATTTTTACATTGTGAATTATTGTTTACCAGACTTGGTATTCTCATCGTTTTTACACATCATTTTTATTTTGTTAGTCGCTATAATAAAATCTGACTGTGTAAGCACCTTGGCTTGAAATTTGTTTACATACAAAATGGGAAGTATAATATGAATAATAGTCACAACATGGAGGTAATAATTATAAAATGAAGCAAATTTCCCCACAGTCTATGGATAACAAAATTAAAAAACAAAACCAAGAATATGACACAATCTGACCAAATGAAATAACAGAATTAAAAAATGACATTGCTTCTCTATACTGATTCAGTTCTCAGTCAAAGTATGAATCTTGTACTTAGCTAGCACGAGCTTGCAGCAACTACTTTGCAGCTAAGAGGTTAATGTTAGCTTAAGGGAACAAACTAGTTCTCTAGTGCGAAGTAAAGTCAATAACACCCCAACCAACTGAAATTAATATCATTATACCATGTAACTTTACCATCTTAACATTTTTTATAATTCATGCTAGAGAAGACGCTCGGTGACATTTTATTAGGTCATTCAAAATGTACAAAATGGTCACCTGTGAAGAGTGATGCTGTTTGTTCTGCTGTCTTCGCCAACACAAACAGTGAGTTTTTGGGGTTTTTTGCTTGATGTTTGGTTTAAAAAAAACTACTCAAGTTTTGACCCAGCAGCATAAAACCAACATCTGAATAATAAAAAATACACCAGCAGTGTGTAGCTTAGCTGTTATTATACGTGTTCTCAATATGCCCTAAACACAGGAAAGGATGAGCTGTGAAAATGATGGGGAAGGCAAACTCACTTTTAGTTTTGCTACATTTTTATTTTTGGCCAAACCTTTTACTCATATTAACCCTAAAACGTTTATTATACTGTATATACTAACTCTACACTTTAACTTTAAAATTCAGCTTAGCAATGAAGGTATCAACAAAGAACCAGTTGAAGGACACCATGAGTTAATTAGAATTTTCTGCATGTAGACTAGGTGATGTTTCTACACAAGTGTTCCTTGGCTGGATTTTGATTTGCTCCACAACAACACATGCCACTGTGGCTTTTGGTTTCATTCTGAAATGATTTCCCATGACTTGAAGCAAGCACTGTTAACAAGCCAGAGCCTAAGGCATGAGCCAACTTCTCAAGAGCCTAGGAGATACTAACAGTTGTAATTTAATATTAATTTTTTTAAAATTTTCTGTCCTTTGTGCACTTTGTAGTGTTTTTGAAAATAGAGAAACAAGCGATATGCATTTTTTCAGCACTTAATATACAACTCTACAGAGTTTTAAAGATAGTTTTAGAAAACTATCTGCTGCAACTTCAGGGCATCTCTGTGGCACCAACTTTGTCATCTGTGACAAATTTTATTTTGCATTTGAAAACCAATATAAGGTGCAGAGCTCGTTTTTTTTGTGAATGAATGCAATACCAATAACTGGTGTAAATACTGTAAATCCCCGTCAGCATTCTTTTCTAACCTTATTCCAAGCTGTTGGTTTAAATATGTTGTATATTCCATCATCTAATCCACATGTGTCAAACTCAAGGCCCGCGGGCCACATGTGGCCCACCCCAGCATTTCATAGGCCGATGATTGACTTAAAATAGGTTTTGAGCACGAATTGACTACAAACTATATATCCCATAATGCATTCCGATTGTTACCA